TTTATTGGATATCCGAAAACCGCTAAACCTGCCTTTCCAAGTTTCATCATTTCGTCAACTTCAATCATTCTCCATCTTGTCAATACAAGTAAAATGTTTTTTGAATTATTAAAATCGGACGCTCCGTTCTCCTAAAAACTGAGTTACCGTTTTTGCCCGGTATTTTCGAAACTGCTCGACCTGCCATAGCCAAAACTATAAGCACGTCTCTTTATCAATAGAAATAGAATGTTTTTCGAATTATTCAAATTGGTTGATTCGTGTTCTCGAAATCGTGGACGAAAATTTGTACTCGCACACACCACACATACATCCATTTTTCTAAGGTATGCCAAAATGTTCAGAAACGGTTGAAACGTAAAGATATATAGAAACTTTCATTTTCGATTTTTTGCTATTACTATGGGAAGTTAATAAACAAACTACCCTATGGGAAGTTAATAAACAAAACTTAATCGAGTGGAGTTAGTATTAAAGGACCTTATCTCATGTTTTCCTGAAACTATATAAACATAATTACTAATTAAAATTATTACTAATTATTAATAATTAATAATAATAATTAATAATTACATGAAGAAGTACATGACATGGATTGAAGTATTCATAGTATAATATGAAATACTTTGAAATGTTTTGTATTAAAATATATTTTAGATATTTTAAGACCTTAATTATTTCTATTATATATTTATGTATAAATACAACAAATTATAATAAAAATAAAATCAAGATGTGAGTCAATATTAAATGTTTATATTCGGTTCAATGTAAATTATTAATATAAAATTCATTTAAACAATTTGATAGATAGAATGCATAAAATGCACTTGTATCACAACCTTCTGAATATGGACTTATCTTTTACGTTTTTATCGAAACCACTTATTATGATATGCTGCACTTAATTAGTGAACATAAATGTGGTTGATTTCTAATGTATACTATTTGTATATTATGTATATTTACCATGTATAGATTATTCTGTATGACCTCTAATACCAGACACTTCCGACTGACTGAGATATTCAAAATGCATATTAGTATAAATAAGAAGAATTAAAAGTGATTACCCAAATGTCTATTCAAATGAATTTGAGAATGAGTCATTTTGTGTTGCACTAATGATCGTTTTGTAGTGAACACTTCATTGCATATTTCACATTTATGAGCGTGTGTTCTCCGGTGTGTAGTTAAATGCACTTTCACATGGTATGCTCGAGTAAACTTCTTATTGCATATTTTTGCATGCATATTCACGTCCTCCGGTATGTGTTGTTTTATGCCTGTTTAATGTTTGTTTTCTCTTTGAATGTTTTATTACATGTTTTACATTCGTAAGGTCGATGTTCACTGTGCACCACTAAATGCCTTTTTAAAGTACTTGCATCTGTAAATCTTTTTCTTGCATATTTTACATTTGTGATGGCGTTCTCCAGTGTGAATCTTTAAATGCTGCTTTAAGCTTTGATTAGTTGCAAATGTTTTTATTGCATAATTTACAATTAATTGGGCGTTTCTTGTGCACTAATGAATGCTGTTTTAAAGTTACTTGCTGTATAAACTTTTATTGCATATTTCACATTTATAATGATGTGTGGTATGAATCATTTCATGGCGTTGTAAGTTTTGTCTTGTTGTGTATGATTTCTTGCATATTTTACATTTATGGGTTTTCAAGTTATGTTTACTTTTACTTAAAACTCTTTCGTTGTATTTAAATGTATTATCATCTAAATTACTTAACATACTGTTTTCTTCTTTACATATGTTTGCATTGGATACAGCATCTTGCTTCTTAATGGTTTCTTCTTTTATTTCTTCCTGGATTGTGATCTCAGATTTCACAAATACTTCATCATATTCTGGATAAATATGATCACAATCATCAATTTCTTGTTTCACTTGAACACAATCATCAATTTCTAGTTTTACTTGTGGATATTCCATCGGCTCAATTTTAATCGTCGCTTCTTCAGACATTTTCTTGTGTTTGTTCGTACTTGTAATGTCTTCTTCAAAATTGAGAAGGCGTTCAATCAAATTTATATCTATTACATATGTAATAAATAAGTTTTAACATATATTTATAATAGCTTTGGTCAGTTTCAATTGTTACCTTATTATAATATTGTCTAGGCCTTATTAAATATGCATATATCACATTCTTATATTGTCTAGGATTTCAGCAAACAATTTGACATTTCGATTTAAATCACATTAGCCACGACATCAGAGGTTGGACAACATTAAATCATTGTTCTTGATAGACGAAGAGTATTGGGGATACTCGAAGACGTCCGAAGGACTCGCGAAGAAATCGTTTATCGCAAAATTCATTCTTTCTGAAGCAGCATCGGCGATACGAGATCAATCTAGTGGTATATGGTATTGCGCCTCAAAGCAAATTGCTCGAACTTCCCGTACCGTGATTAAAAATCTTGGTACAAAACCCAAAAAAATGTACCCCAAAAGTGTACACATTACTAAAATTTCTATAAAATGTCTGATAATTTGATATACATATGTCCAATAAACATTTTTGACCGCCAAATGACATTTTTTAACTTATTTTCAATAAGAGTTCATAACCGCTAGACCTGCCTTCCCCAAAATTCGATCAGTTCTTCATCTTGTCAATTCAAGTAAAATGTTTTTTGAATTACTAAAATCGCACGCTTTTAAAAACTTAAAAACTCGCCGTTCTCTTAAAAACTGAGTTACCGTTTTTGGCATTTTTTGCCCCGTATCTTCGAAACGGCCAGACTTACCTATGCCAAGAACTAATCAGCACGTGTTCTCATTAATAGGAATCGAAATCGTCGACGAAAATTTGTATCCGCACACACACATGTGTGTACACATACATCCATTTTTTCTAAAGTATGTTAAAATGTTCAGAAACCTCTGAAGCGTAAAGATATATAAAAATTTTCATTTTCGATTTTCGGTTCATTACTATAACTACCCTACAGGAAGTTAAAAAAGACTTAACTTAAAAATATTTGAATTACAAAATTTATTTCGTCTGAAAAGAAATTTATAAAATACCTTTTTTTTGATAAAATCGTTTTAGTGAAAAAGTGTTAATGTATAATCAATCATACAGGTAATTAATTCTGTTTTTCCATAACCTTTTCTTAAAACTTTCTAAAACTCTAATTTTTTAACATTTCTAATATTTTGTTATATAATCCACTCATTTATTTTTATCATTTTCATTTGGATTATATAGCCATATTTCTGTACATTATTTTTTCTACAATTTTATTCATTTTATATAAAAAAAAACACTATCTTCTGCTTTTCCTAAATATATTGTTTGCTTAAATCATATCAAGATCATGTTTCTTGTCAGATGTCCTGAAGATGGAACGTACCTAGTTCCAAAAACGTCAACAGTAAATAAATAAAAAATGGTTTTTAAAATTTTTTTTTGTTTTTATTACATTTGGATTCTTTGTTCAAAGCTCTATAAAATATTTACAAATGACTCTACAATCTAATATATATTTATATTATATATATGGTTGAAGTTTTTCAGCCACAAGTCAAAAAAAGAAAGAAATTAAATATCAAATCTTTATTAATTGTACGTTTTGAGCTATTATACTAGCTCATCATCATCAAAGTCGAAATAAACTAGTTGGTTTGGTATTTAGCCTTGAGGCAAGTTACATGAACTTCCCGATATGTTTGAATAATCGACTTAATCAATAAAAAATAAATTAATTTATGAGTCATTAAAAGTATTCCGAGTGGATTTATTACACATAATTGAAACGAACGAACACTTTGACTCGGAGTATTTTCTAAAAGCAAATTTTATATAATTGAACCAGTTTTCAGGACTTTAATGGTTTATTATGTTCAAGACCAAGTACTCTATCATTATACCAAGTAAATAGTCTAATTTTAATTTTAACAAATCTCAAAAGAACTACTCATTTTCTCAAACTTTGATGAATTTTTAAAATCAAACTATTTGTCGTAAGGCCGTAATATTTCAGTAACTTCTATAAGACCATGGTATATATCACTAAAAAAAATCCATAAAAATCGGCTTAAATTTTTTTTCAACAGTTAATTACAAGAAAACGGCTCGGTAGATTTTCACCTAAAACTAATCAGTACCATTCCCAACTAATATCTTTCGAACATTTCTTGATTTTTTAAAATCGGTTCGGTAGGATGAGCTTAAATGTGGACGAAAAGTTTAACACTTTTTTTCAAATTATAAAGAAACGGCTTGGCAGATCGATAAACGATAGTCCTCACCGAAATACATCAAATGGCTTTTAAATTTTTGAAATCGGTTAAGACGTTTTTGAGAAAACGTCGATCAAAGATTTCATTTTGACAAATGTCAATAAAACGATATCAATTTTTGCAAACTTTGACGAATTTTTAAAGCTAAACGAGTTGTCGTAGGGCCGCAATATTTTAGTATGACCTAGAAAACTATGGTATCTAACGTCAAAAAAAAAATCATAAAAATCGTCGAAATTTTTTTTTTTAAACTTTATTACAAGAAAACGGCCCGGCCGATCTTTACCAAAAACTAATCAGCACGATTCCCAACCAATATCTATCGAATGGTTTTTGAATTTTCAGAATCGATTCAGAATTGCGGGCTAAAACGTGGACGAAAATTTTTTCACTTTTCTGCTATTTACAAAGAAACTGCCCGGCCGATCGCCGCACAAAACTCAGAAACGATAGTCCTCATCGAGATACATCGAATGGCTTTTAAATTTTTGAAATCGGTCCAGCCGTTTTCGAGAAAACGTCGATTTACGGCAAAAAATCTGTTCACATACACGCACACACACACACATACACACACACACACACATACTTTTTCCAAATTTGGTCTCATTCGATTCAGAATAGCTTGAAACGTCGAGAAAACATAAAATTAGCGAATCGGATTTTTTGATGAAAACATAAACTTCTCCTTCGGGAAGTTAATAAATTCAATTTATATATATATATATATATTATATATATAAATATATATATATATATATATATATATATATATATATATATATATATATTACAAATGTATTCTGAGTGGATAATAGATATTAATTTGGAAATATGAACAAACAACACTCTTTTTGCACTAATTTATTAAATAATAATTTTCACAAACGTTTCGAGACTAGGTTTGTCTCATCATCAGTGTGTTAAAATTAAAAAAAAAAATTTAAAATATGGAAATCTAAATTAGCATGTTTTTCATTACAAGTCGTTCACTGCACGTTGCTCTTTTAATACCACTGTCTTCGGTATTCGTATTCTCTCCTACTTGAAAACCACTTGAAATTGTAAAGTCACTCAATCAGATAGGAAAAAAAGGATTAGGGTCCAGTTGAAAAATAGATGTCGTTAGGAGAAAAAATATTCTATGATGAGATGGTTTGTTTATAAGATTTGTTATACACTGTTATAATTAAAAGTGTATGTACATCTATATATAAGCTACAAAGTATGAATGAGATTCAGGTATGTATCATGTAATATATTGGTATCTGTCCGTAAATTTACTGTGTTACTTGTATGGGCTATTAACATCGATTCTGCAATACTTCTTTTAAATAAATCTTGTTCATAATATAAAATGTGCGGATTATTGAAATCGAAACTATGGCTGTTAGAGATAGCGTGGTCTACAATATATACAGTAGGCCCTCGCTTTACACGGCACTCTGGATACACGGTTCCCATACTACACGGAGCTAAAAATCCGACATCCCTCCGACTACACGGGCTTCTTATTACACGGTATTTGGTCAACAGCCCATAAGTTCGTTGTGCAAAAGGGTATTGATGTAAATTTTATTATCGACTTTTATCTTTTAGAAATGCCTGATTATATAAAAGCTGCCTAAGAACCCTAAGAACACATTTGAGCTCACTACTGCGTCGCGCCAATTTTTGAATAAGGTGTCAATGTCCTACATGTCATTTCGTCCGTATTACTCCTACTTCAAGTTGTATTTCTTGGTCTCCATACAGCGCGATAAAAATGGTGCGATTTGTACCAACTGTGAGTCTCTCATAGCACGGATCCCATACTGCACTATGTAAGGTTCCATAGAACGCACTACGAATTAGCCTGAATTGTATGTTAAATACGAGTTTCTTATAGCACGGTTTCCATACTGCACGGTACGCACTTGCCGCGTAAAGCGAGGGTTTACTGTATATATATATATATATATATATATATATATATATTTTGTAGAGTTTCGAACAAGAATCCAAAAGTAATAAAAAAACAAGAAAAGTTTTTAATAAACAATTTCTTTATTTATTTATTTATTTACTGTCGACGTTTCGGAACTAGGTACGTTCCATCTTCAGGACATCTGTCAAGAAACACGATCTTGATGAGATTTAAGTAAACAATATGTTTAGGAAAAGAAAATAGATTTTTTTTAAATAATAAATTAATTGCAAAAAATAATAATGTACCGAAATATGATAATATGATCAAAATGAAAATGATAAAAATAAATGAGTGGATTATCAGAACAGGATATTAAAAATGATAGAAATTTTTTTGAAAGTTATGAAAAATTTTAAGAAAAGGTTAATGACAAAATTGAATTAATTACCTGTATGTTTGAATATACGTTAGCACTTTTTCACTAAACAAGATTTTTAAACAAAAATGAATTTGTGAGTTATTTTTCCGCCGAATAGTTAAATTTTGTAAATCAAAATTACTAAAAGTTTTGTCTTTTTTTTAAATTATTATTTGAAAACACAAATAATATTGTTCTCTCGATGTTATGCGGTCGGCTTTTGGAAACAAACTAACTGAATCTGATGATTCATGTGTAACACGTGTAAACACTTGAACGTGAACTGTGAGATTGTATGTGTGTGTTTTTATATGTCAGGGTGTGAATACTTAAATTATTGATCTTAAAAGGAAGTCGATATTAATTGTTTGTCAAAAAGTGTAAAAAATTTAAATATGAATCATGTAATAGGTTGTGATCTGATCTAATGTTGACACTGTTAGAAACATTCATAAGAATAAGACAACTCTCCGCGAATAATCTCCTAAAGATGCAACTTTCATGATATAAAATCTTTGGAGTGAAATTAAACGAATGGGCGTTTTCAATAGAGTGTTGTACTAGGGTACTTTTGAAATTTTTTTGTTTATGGTGGACCACACTTAGTTCATGTTGTCTCATTCTTTTGTGTACATATTGCGAGGTTTGTCCAATATATTGGAAAGCACAGTCATTACAAGAATGTTTACACGTGTTACACATGAATCATCAGATTCAGTTAGTTTGTTTTCAAAAGCCGACCGCATAACATCGAGAGAACAATATTATTTGTGTTTTCAAATAATAATTTAAAAAAAAGACAAAATTTTTAGTAATTTTTTTTTACAAAATTTAACTATTCGGCGGAAAAATAACTCACAAATTCATTTTTGTTTAAAAATCTTGTTTAGTGAAAAAGTGCTAACGTATATTCAAACACACAGGTAATTGATTCAATTTTGTCATTAACCTTTTCTTAAAATTTTCCATAACTTTCAAAAAACTTTCTATCATTTTTAATATCCGGTTCTGATAATCCACTCATTTATTTTTATCATTTTCATTTTGATCATATTATCATATTTCGGTACATTATTATTTTTTTGCAATTAATTTATTACTTAAGCAAAATCTATTTTCTATTCATAAACATATTGTTTGCTTAAATCTCATCAAGATCGTGTTTCTTGACAGATGTCCTGAAGATGGAACGTACCTAGTTCCGAAACGTCAACAGTAAATAAATAAATAAATAATAAATAAATAAATTGTTTATTAAAAACTTTTCTTGTTTTTTATTTCTTTTGGATCCTTGTTCGAAACTCTACAAAATATACACAAATCCAAGATAGATATATATATATATATATATATATATATATATATATATATTATATATATATATGAGTTGATTGTTAATTAGAATGTGTGAATTACATTTGCATTATGAATTCATTTACTTAGATAATATCCATTGGAACATCCCATTACAAAATTCTAAGTTTTTGTACATTAATGTGGTTGTTTTCTAAAGCGATTGCACAAATGTCTATTTTAAGAAATTTTTGATTGAATCTCGTTGCATGTATCACTTTCATGGGTTTTTGTTTCTTTTTATGAGTTCTTTTAAGGCTTTCATGATCACTGTTCACTCAATGTTTTATTGAACATTTTAAAACGTGCTCTGGTACTACAAATTCTTCATCGCATATCACACATTTACGAGAGCTAATTCAGGAGAACTATTACACAATGAACTATGACGTTTCAATTCTTGTTTTGTTGTGTATCCTTTATTACATATGGCACACTTATGTGGGCGCTCTTGAGTGTGCACCGCTAAATGTGTTCTCAAATGACTTAACTGTCTACATGTTTTATTGCATATTCCACATTCGTAAGGGCGTTCTCCTGTGTGAATCATTTTATGTCGATTTAAATTTTGCTTTGTTGTGAATGTATTATTGCAAATTTGACATTCATATGGGCGTTCTCCTCTGTGCGCTGATAAATGCTTTTTTAATATACCTAACTTTGTGAATCTTTTATTGCATAGTTGACATTCGTAAGGGCGTTCTCCTGTGTGAACGATTTTATGACGACTTAATGTTTGTTTTGTTGTAAATGTTTTTGTGCATATCTCACATTTATAGGGTTTCAAGTTTTGGATTATTTCGTGTTGACTTCTACTTAAAATGCTTTCAAAAGATTTGCTGTTTTCTTCGTTATATATGTTAGTGTTTGCAGTTGAAGCAGCATCTTGATCCTCAATCGTTTCTTCCTCGATTTTTATCTCAGACTTTAAAAATATTTGCTCGTTTTCCGGACAAATATTATCGCAATCATCAAATTCTTGTTTCACTTGTGGACAATCATCAAATTCTTGTTTGACTTGAGGATAATCGATTGGTTCGATTTTAATTGTTGTTTCTTCAGACATTGTTAGGTGTCTGTTGCATATTTAAATAAACATAAAATAAACAATAGATAAATAAACACAACTTCCATGAATCAATTTGACATTTCTGTTTCGCTATCTTCTCGCATAATAAGATCAGGTTGGACAACATTCAAAACATCTCACATTTGACGCGGGTAACACAAACGCGCCAATGTGAACTTATTTAAATTTAAACTAGTAGGGGGCATGGCATCGTGCCTTAAGGCAAATTGCTGGAACTTCCCGTAGTAAAAATTATTTTTTTTTAAAAAGATTAACATTTTTGAAAAAAAATTGCTCTCAAAAAATTAGACTTTTGAGAAACTATAAATTTTTGACAAAAAATTTTTTTTTTGAAAAAAAATTTATTTTGAAATATTTTGGAAATTCTGAATATTTTTTCAAAGCAATCGTACTGCTTTAACTGCATAGAGACGAAATATCGAAGCACGTAAGCGCCGTGTCGCCGTCTAACGGATAAATATTGGTACGGAACCTATAGGAATGTAAACAAAATTTATATTTATTGTTAAAATTTCTATAAAATATCCGATAATTTGATGTGCATATGTCTAATGATCATTTTTGACCGCCAAATGGCATTTTTTTTTTACTTTTTCTACAAGATCTCCGAAACTGCTAGACCTGCCTTCATGAAAATTTGACCAGTTCTTCACCTTGTTAATACAAGTAAAATGTTTTTTGAATTATTCAAATCGGACATTCCGTTCTCTTATAAACTGAGTTACCGTTTTTGGCACTTTTTGCCCCGTATCTTCGGAAGGGCTAGACCTGCCTTTGCCAAAAACTAATCAGCACGTCTCCTTTTCAATACGATTCAAATGTTTTTTGAATTGTTCAAATTGCTTCATCCGTGTTCCCGAAATCGTCGACGAAAATTTGTATCCGCACCCATACATACACGCACACACACACACATATCCATTTTTTCTAAGGTATGCCAAAATATTCAGAAACCTTTAAAACGTAAAGATATATAAAAATTTTCATTTTCGATTTTTTTGCGATTACTATAACTTGCCCTACGGAAAGTTAATTATAGTTATTTTTATGAAAAAACTAACGATTTTCTTTTAATACTATTTACAGATCCTATTAAATTTAAAACATAGTTAAACTGGTGTGTTACAAAGTTTATACAAAAGTAAAATACCATGTCAATAAAATGGAAATGTTAAATTCATTCAGTAGCATAATGTGATCAATTTCGCTTAACTCAAATTATTAACATAAGTTTTATATTTTCCATTTATTGAATTTTCTCTATCATAGAATTGCAATTTACTAAGGTAAATTTAATTCCAAACTAGTTGGTTTGGTATTTAGCCTTGAGGCAAGTTACATGAACTTCCCGATATATGTAAATAATCGACTTGATCAAAAAAAAAATGTGTAAATAATATACTTCATCAATCCTTAATAATACTTTAAAAAAAACGATAATAATTTTAGCAAAGTTTGACGAATTTTTAAAATTAAACTACTTGTCGCAAGGCCATAATATTACAGTAAGTTCTATAAGACCATGGTATATATCGCCAAAAAAAGTTTCATGAAAATCGGCTTAAATTTTTTTTTCAATAGTTTATTACAAGAAAACGGCTTGGTAGATTTTCACCTAAAATTAATCAGTACCATTCCCAACTAATATCTTTCGAACAGATTTTGATTTTTTAAAATCGGTTCGGTAGGATGAGCTTAAATGTGGACGAAAATTTAACACTTTTTTTCAACAGTTAATTACAAGAAAACGGCTCGGTAGATTTTCACCTAAAATTAATCAGTACCATTCCCAACTAATATCTTTCCAACAGATTTAGATTTTTTAAAATCGGTTTGGTAGGATGAGCTTAAAAGTGGACGAAAAGTTTAAAACTTTTTTTCAAATTACAAAGAAACGGTTTGGCAGATCGTCTCACAAAACTGACAAACGATAGTCCTCATTAAGATACATCAAATGGCTTTTAAATTTCTGAAATCGGTTCAGGCGTTTTTAAGAAAACGTCGATCATAGGTTTAATTTTGCCAAATACCAAAAAAAACATACAAATTTTTGCAAACTTTGAAGATTTTTTAAAATTAAACGACTTGTCGTAGGACCGTAATATTTTAGTATGACCTGCAAGACTGTGGTATCTACCGTCAAAAAAAAAAATTATAAAAATCGTCAAATTTTTTTTTTTTAAACTTTATTGCAAGAAAACGGCCCGGCCGATCTTTACCAAAAACTAATCAGCACGATTCCCAACCAATATCTATCGAACAGTTTTTGAATTTTCAAAATCGATTCAGAATTGCGGGCTAAAACGTGGACGAAAAATTTTTCACTTTTCTGCGATTTACAAAGAAACGGCATGGCCGATCGTTATACAAAACATCAGAAACGCTAGTCCTCATCGAGATACATCTAATGGCTTTTAAATTTTTGAAATCGGTCCAGCCGTTTTCGAGAAAACGTCGATTTACGGCAAAAAATCTGTTCACACACACACACACACACACACACATACTTTTTCCAAATTTGGTCTCATTCGATTCAGAATGGCTTGAAACGTCGAGAAAACATAAAATTAGCGAGTCGGATTTTTTTATGAAAACATAAACTTCTCCTTCGGGAAGTTAACTAGTTGGTATTAAACGTATTAAACGTATTGGTATGTTGGCTTGAGACATGTTATATGAACTTCCCGATATGTGTAAATAATCGACTTAATCAATAAAAAATAAATTAATTTATATAGATTAAAAGTATTCCTAGTGGATTTATTACACATATTTGAGAACGAACAATCACGTTAACTCAGAGTATTTTCTAAAAGCAAATTTTCAAGAATCAACCATTTTTATAATTGAACCAGCTCCGTAGGACTTCAATGGTTCAGTATGTTCATTAAGACCAAGTACTCTATCGTTATACCAAGTAAATCGTCTAATTTTAATTTTAACAAACGTCAAAAAAACTACTCATATTGATGACTTTTTTAAATTAAACTACTTGTTGTAAGGCCGTAATGGCGTAATATTTCACCAGTAAGTTCTATAAGATCATGATATAAATCGCCAAAAAAAGTTCCATAAAAATCGGCTATAATTTTTTTTCAGCAGTTAATTACAAGAAAACGTCTCGGTAGATTTTCACCTAAAACTAATCAGTATCATTCCCAACTAATATCATTCGAGCAGTTTTTGATTTTTTAAAATCGATTCGGAGGTATGAGCTTAAATGTGGACGAAAAGTTCAACACTTTTTCCCAAATTTCAAAGAAACGGTCCGGCAGATCGTTGCACAAAATTGACAAACGATAGTCCTCATTGAGATACATCAAATGGCAAAATTTCTGTAATCGGTTCATGAGTTTTTGAGCAAACCTCGATGAAATGTCCAATTTTGACAAATGCCAAAAAAAACGATACTAATTTTTGCAAACTTTGACGAATTTTTAAAATTAAACGACTTATGGTATCTATCGCCAAAAACAAATTCATAAAAATCATCAAAAAAAATTTATTTTAACACTTTATTCCAAGAAAATGGTCCGGCCAATCTTTACCAAAAACTAATCAGCTCGATTCTCAACCAATGTCATGCACCCCGACGTCGTCGACGAAAAATTGTCTCCACATATACACACACACACACACATCCATTTTGTCTGAGGTATGCCAAAATGTTCAGAAACCTCTAAAACGTGAAGATATGCAAAAAGTCTCATTTTCGATTTTTGGACGATTAGAACTTACCCTACAGTAAGTTAATAATTGATTTATATTCAAAATTGGTAAAATAATGTGGCGGCCTAGAAGTAATGCTTACAATTAGTAAAAAAAGCCAAGAAAAAATGATTCCTTATTACAGTAATGCAGTCTTCTATTTGCTCATTTTACACTTGATATATTAATGATAAACTTGATTCAAATATTTCAAAATTCAAAAATTTCATTATACATTCGTCTCAACTACAATGTAACTAGTGGTGCACGGTATTATGCCTTAAGGCAAATTGCTGGAACTAGCAGTACATTTCATTGTGCCTTATGCAAATTGCTGAAACTTTCCATACTTTGATTTAAGATTTTTTTTCAATCCAACAGCCATGCCTTCTCAATGACTCAATGATTTGAAGAGCCAAGAAAACAAAAATAGACAAATCGCATTTACTGGCAAAAACATCACATTTAAATTGTAATCAGTCTTTTTACTTTATATCTCTATAAAATAAAGGACACAATCTAAAGCACAAACAAAATTGAACACATAATACATATAATATAAATTATCATAAAAATACAACATAGATGTGAGTCGATATTAAATGTTTTTATTTGGTTTAATGTAAATTATATTAACATATAATTCATTTAAACGATTTTATAGAAAGAATGCATAAATTACACTGGTTTCACAACCTTCTAATGTGAATTTATCTTTTAAATTAAATCTATCGTAACCACTTATTACTAAAAGCTGCACTTAATTAGTGAACATAAATGTGGTTGTATATTATGTATATATACCATGTATAGATTATTCTGTATGACCTCACATACAAGACAGTTTCCGACTGACTGAGATATTCAAAATGCATATTAGTACAAATATGAAGAATTAAAAAGTGATTACCCAAAATGTCTATTCAAATGAATTTCGAGAATGAATCATTATGTCGCACTAAAGATCGTTTTGTAGTGAACGCTTCATTGCATATTTCACACTTATGAGCGCGTTCTCCGGTGTGTGTAGTTAAATGCACTTTCACATGATATGCTCGAACAAACTTCTTATTACATATTTTGCATACATGATCAC